TTAAAATTTACTATAGTTTGAGTGTATTTTATATTAATTTTTTTTTAATGAGTCGGCTCATGTGATTACGAGTCTAGTCGGGGTTGGCTTGAGCTTGGATTGTTAGCTCATTGAGCACAGTTCATGAGCCACTTATCGAGCCAAGCTCGAGTCGGCTCACGACAACCCTAGATTTGACTTCTACGGCTTTTGCATTTCATCTTTTTGGAAATCTCTTACAAACTTTTGAGTAAATAATTTATTTTTGTTAAACTTAACAACTCGATATATATTTATATGTTTTGATGATATGATTTTCATTGCTTTTAAATATATGTGAATATGAATGAATTATGAAATGAAATGTATCAAGGATGTTTGTAACAATTTAGTTAGAGTAGTTCATCACCTATTGAGTCCTGGTTTCACAAGTCATGACTCATGATGATTGTTAGTGAGAATTTATTCTGGCCGAATTATTCGTCTCTGTCAGACCTCAGCAGACCTTTAAATGGAGGCCAGTTGTGGTGTGATATTCTACACATATGGACTTGTGCTTGGCCGCTTTATGGCTCGTCCGACAAAGCTTTGTTGATTTTTTAGTCAACTTGGTCAGCTAAACTTGGTCGGTATGATTCAGTCGGCTGATCCAACTTGGTTGACTAACCTTGATCCATGATGAGGAGTTTGAGATATCTCATGGAAAAAGATTTTTCGTTAAATTGGCGCTACTGGTGGGTAGGCAACCACATCGAGTCGACTTTCTTCTATCAGTCGGTTTAGATGTTCTTCTTTCATACAGTCTTCAATCAAATAACTCATGCCCGGACATCTTCTTGTTCGCCTCATTCTATCAGTCCTGGTCGGCACACCTTTATCATGTTCTTTTCTCTGGACCGTTAGATCTCTTTAAGATCAGTGCAAACATATTTTTTGATGTATAATATTTACAAAAAAAAAAATAATAATAACAATAAATCTCCACCCTATAATGTTAGATATTTCCTTTTGTTTTTTTATTCGAGGGAGTGAGTGCGGGAGCATATAATTTGTATGGAATTAGTCAGACGTGAGGAGACAGGTGTCGACCGTGGGACTCATGAAGCTCATCTTCTCCCGCACCAAGATTACAATGAATCTCCTTTCTATAATGACTCCTGACGATGGAATTCCACGTCATTTATGAAGAATAATGCCACACACACACACATTATAGTATTAACCCATGTGTAGATTGACGACAGGCCTCCATTTCCTAATTATCTATGGAAGGTTCTAGTAATTAGATACTACTAAGTGCTCCATCACACTTAATTATATCTAATCATTTCATCATTATTTTTTTTTTCTTTTCTATGAAACATATTCTTTAAGTTCATGGTTTTGAAATATGATGATTAAAATGTAACTATATTTTTATAGGGATGAAAGAGGGTGCTAGATTTGTAAATAGCAATGTTTGGGGTGCTATGTATGTAAAATTCACATTTTTTATAATGTATATTTTGATGTTAATATCTTATGGTACAAGTTTTTAAATTATTGTTGTCAAAGGAGAATTTGTTAATCATTAAGTTTAATTAGCACTTTAAGTGGGGGTGTATCTATAAGGATTTAGGTTGAATAGGATTTAGTAAATTCGCTAAATCCGGATTTATCAAGTCTTTATGGTTCATTAAAGTTAAATCCAATCAAATATGTTGACATGCATGTTCGGCATAAATAGGTTCGCTATGTTTATATCAAATATCAAATAAACTAATCACATAATTAGTTTTTAAACTAAATAAATATCTTAATTAATAATTAATCAGTAATTTTTAGGAAGCAAACACATGTAAATAGTCTTAACATTAAAATATAATAGCACTTTATGTGGACTACTTTAGCTTTAATTTAACGAGTTTGTGGACAATTTTGACACTTCTATAAATTCTATGACTAAAATGGCCCATATAAATAGGTGGAGATTATTTTGACATTTTTTGCTAAAATTTGTGAAATATATTTTAACTAGATCATATTGATCAATTTTATATCAAAATATTTGCGACAAATTTTCTGTAATTATGGTGGCTGCATGTCCGAACGAGGTCTAATGGGCCGCATGCGATCCATGGCGGCTTAGCCCCAATCAAAACATCTTCCGAATATACGATCGGCCACACAAATATGTGTGTGTGTGTGTGTGTGTTTCGTGGCTCGCACCCGCAAGTTCTGTTGCTTGTTGGTATAGCAGTCTCTCTGAAAATCGTAAGTCCTCTTAAGGTCACGAGTTTGAACCCTCTGGTGACGCCTTCAGCCAGACTTGCCTGGCGGGGTATAGTATAATTAGGTGGAGTTGATACATAAAGAGCCTAAGCCTGCACTAAGCCGAATAGATACGTGGACGATTAGAATGGAACCCGTACATTTGTATATTTGAATAATTTAAAATGTGGGGGAATAAAAAAATCTTGGGGCATTCATGTGAAACACGGCAACGAAATAATAACTTTATTTATTATTTATTATTTATTTATTTTATTCTGATGAGCATGCCTAGCCAATACTGCTTTTCGGGTACCTCACAGAACCACTTTTGCTTGATCAGTCAGAGTCTCGAGTTTAATCGAGTTTAATTGCCAAAAATATTTTTTTTTAGAATCATCACTTATTTTTTGAGATAAATGTACTATATAATTAAATTTAGGATATGTTTTTGTGAAGAAATGATTGTTTAAACACACATACGTGAAGTTGTTGCAGAAGAAACTGTTGTTCAAAAATTTATTACAATTATTATCATTTTTTTTATTATTTTTGAAAAAAAGGCATTTTCTATGACACTCATTTAGGGATGTAAACGAGCCGAGCTTGAGCGAGCTCAGGTTGAGCGAGCTCAGGCTGCGAGCTCAGGCTGGGCTCGTGTTCGGCTCGAAATTGGCTTGTTAAACTAAAATTGAGAAAAATAGATGTAAAGTGTGGGATTCGAACCTGGAAAAAATAAATACAAAAAAATATACTAACCACATTGCCACATTGGATGTTATGATTTAAACTTAGACATAAATATATATAATATATTATTATATAAATAATATATTGTTATATAAAAAGTTATATAATTTTTTTTTCGAGCCATTTCGAGTCGAACACGAGCGAACAAACTGTTCGGCTCGTTAGGCTTAACGAACAAGCCGAACACAAGCTGCTTAACGAGCCAAACACGAACTGTTCACGAACAACGAGCCAAATTGACAGCCCTACACTCATTGCACTTTGGTTTGGTGCAGCTTCTTCTAATATTTTTTTTTTAAGCGCTACAAAGTGTGGTGCAGCACGACACCCTCGGGATTATATAAATAATACTCGATATTTTGCCATCCACAAAGTATTACCTACATTCATTATTTACAAATTCTCTCTCAAATATTAAAATTTTTCATTTTTATCATCAATGATGTAATCATGACACGCATAAATGCACGAGTTAATGCCTAGATAAAAATAATAACTATGTAAAGAAGAAAATTTAATTACTAATTAATATAAATGAATATTTGAGGACTTGAAACTCTAAAGTCTTATTTGTAATTAATGCAATACATATGTGATTAATATCATATTTATCTCAAAATAGATCTATAGGATTTGAGACACATCTTGACCAATATTATAATGATAATATCCTAACCTATTTTCTTTGTCTGATTATAGAAATCATCAACATCAAATTTTGGTCTCTCAGTAAAATTTAATGATTCACATCCTAACCTTTTAAATAAAGCGACATTTACATGCATACCACATAATTCCTATGTAATTAATATTAAACTTTGATATTTATATTAATATCACTTTAGTGCCATAGACTTATATGGATTGCACTTTAAAAAGATAAATAATAAGTGTATTCTTGATTAGTATTAAATACCTGAGTGGTATGCATGAAATATAAAAATTTAGGGGTTAGATATATAAATACATAAAAAAATAGTTAGTACACATGTAAGTGCCCCCTTAAATGAATCATCTCTTGATTACCAATTAAAATTTTCAAATTTAAGAAAAATAATTAACTATGTAATTGAAATCTAGGATGATTTACATACCTATACTGTTATGGTATGACTCATATACCATATCAGAACAGACGCTAGATCGAAGCGGAGCGGAGCGGAAGAATCTGTCCAAATTGGGAAGTTACGTGGGTTGGGGTGCGGGGACAAAGCCCCACGGTATGATACAGGGGCAATGTTGTAATTACATGTTGTGTCTAGGTTTACTCATGGGGTTATAAATAGGCATGTTAGTAACCCCATGAGGTATCCTTGAATTCTGTAAACCCTTTTCTGATTATTGAAAGGAACTCGCGGCTCTGCTCCCGAGGACGTAGACATCTTTGCCGAACCTCGTTAAATCTCTGTGTTCTTCTGGATTTGTGTCGATTCTTGTTTTTCTTCGCCCTAATTTTCTCAACATATACTGCTCAATTTTTATATTTTTCTCATATGTAACACTTCAATTTTTACATATATACCATCTTACCTTACCAATGTATGGAAAGGAGAGATTTTTGATGAGATGTGAAAGATTTGAGTGATGTTAAAGTAGAAAAGTAAAGTTTAAGAGGGAGATATTTAAATGCCCCTTAAAATTTTACACAAAGTACTTGAAAAGGTATGGTAGTTGTTCACAACTATATTACTCATACGTAGCTTGGGCATGGAGTATAGCATCGTTGTAATTTTGATTTTTCTTCAGTGCAACCATGCTGTACTGAGTAAAAGAAAATATCTAAATAAATATTTCGTTATGAAAGTCATAGAGTATAGTATGACTATATTTAATAAGAATGAAAAGTATAATTATATTGTACTCCATGACTTAATAGTCGTGTTTTAGGCTTCTCTGCTTTTTAGAAGAGGATACACGATAAATTTTAATCGGAGTTCTTAGATATTGTTGTTTCTTCTTCTTAAGTGTTTGATGGGGCCCTGCTACAGTAGTGAGAATAAACTTGAGAAATATGATTTCAGGCACAGAAACTTAAAACAAATGGAAAACAAGTTAGTGGGTGAAGAAAAGCTTCGATGGAGACCTGCAGATTCAATTTATCATATGCATCGATCACACACGGTATAAGTACGAAGCCACTCTTCCGACTCCCGTTTGTCTCTCACCTCAATCACTATCTTTCTCTCTCTATCACTATCTTTCTCTCTCTAGAAAATATGATTGGAATGGAGGGGAAGTACTATGGGTGGGGAAGTGTTACAGATGGATGGAGGAAGGGGCCATGGACGCCGCAGGAAGACCAGTTACTGATAGAGCATGTGAGGCTCCATGGAGAGGGAAGATGGAACTCTGTTTCCAGGCTGACAGGTAAATATATACAAGCTGGTGTTGTAATTTGAAGAAATCTGAGGGTTTAATCTGCATATTTTACCATAATTTCTGCAAATTTGAGAAACTGAGGCAGAAGGGAACATTGTGATTAGGGCTGAAGAGGAGCGGGAAGAGCAGCAGGCTGAGATGGGTGAACTATTTGAGGCCTGATCTCAAGAGGGGGAAGATTACACCTCATGAAGAGAACATCATACTTGAGCTCCATGCTAGGTGGGGAAATAGGTGAGCTTTCCTCTACTCTGCTTTTTAATTTTTTTTAGGAAGATTTACATGTGTGTATACCACTCAATCTTTGTGTATTTACATGCATACCCACCACCTTATCTTTGATGAAAAGGTTAACATTTTAAAAGTTAAAATGGTAACTGTAAAATTTAAAACTTTGGTTTTAGATATGTAAATATATAAGAATTGGGCTGCAAGCATGCAAATGCCCCTCTGTTATTATTAGTAGGAGTGGCAATTTGGGCCTATAGATCATTTTTTAGATTCGATGTGAATATGATTAAACTTACTTGGACCTGACCCAATTGTATGGTTTGATATGAAATTCAGACTAGTTGATCCGAAGCCAAAATTTTCATGTTAGAGTTTTCATGTAGGGCTCAATATTGGCATCCATAATCGCAATCTTTGTTGCTAACTTTGAGTATTGATATTATAGATGGTCTACAATTGCAAGGAGCCTCCCAGGAAGGACCGACAATGAAATTAAGAATTATTGGAGGACACATTTCAAAAAATCCACCAAAAATGTAGACAAGGCTAGAGCCAGATACTTAAAACTGCAGCAAGAGCAAAGACAATTACAACAACAGCAACAGCAGCAATATTTAATATCACAAAATAATATTATAAAAGAGGAAATTACATCACAAGCTCAAGAAGCTATTATGGCACAAGAGATGCAGGAGATGGCATTTATGTGCGGCAACATGCCATTGATGTTTAACGACGGAGGCTTCGTCGGTGAATCAACGACCAACAGCGAAGACAGATCGAGCGAGGAGGAAGCTTGCTACGACACGTGGGAGAGTTTGTGGAATCTTGATGACATGGGATTTGATATGGCAAATGAAGCACTTACTCTCTATTGAAAGTTGGTGTGAGTTGATATGGTTGATAAATATTTTGGATGTTATTGTCAAAATTTTGAGATGGAATCTATTAATCATATTCGTGTCGAGGGACTTCATGTGCTAAGTGTATTATGTCCGAAGCATATTACAACAACTTTCTAGCTACTGATTGAAGCACTATAAGAATAGTTTATGCCATGTGCTTCAAGTGTACTTTAGTGATAACTTATGTAAATTTGCTACAGTTGTGCATAATAAAAAAAAAATATAATAATTCAAAATATTAAAGATTATATGTCTAATTCAAATTTTTTATAATTTTTCTCATTGCTAGAGTTTTTTTATGGTTCTTGATAAATTTTGAGAGGGCTTCATATGAAATAATTAATGATTAAAAATCATAAGATAAAATAAAAGCAGGACATCTCATATTGTTGCACTATTAATAACTCACTTCATAAGGTGCAAAGTCAAATCGATTTCAAATTTGAGCTGATTTCTTAAGCCCAATGTTATCCTGTAATTGAGTGAAACTTCAAATTCAGTTGGTCATTCACTCATTATATGACTTGCTCTGTGTTTGGTGCGATCTTTTTAGCTCGAAACCAGTGTTGTCATCTATATGTTTATTGCATTCAATGTGTGTTAAATAAAACATGGGCGTAAATTCTTCCATTTTTACATCACGATAGATCGCCCACAACCAGCTGTTTGGTAAACATAAAGTTACATAGATATCCTTCTTCCTAAATGACGAGCGAACGATACGCGATGTCCTAATTGCGTTATCAATGGAAACCTATGCACGAAGCCGAGAGGGGAGCTGATTGAGAGAGATTTTTTTTTTTTTTTTGCGTAAAAGGGAGGTAGCTTCTCCAATCTTCAATTTCTTTCAACCTCTACTTTTTTTTTCTGTGACTTTCTTCTTTGATGTTTCTAGCTTTGCGTAAAAGACATGAACTTCATATCCTACTCGTGCAGGCGTTTATGTCTTTGCGCTATATATATGTATAAATCTTCCTGCAAATATTGTAGGAGCCCAAATTATACGGAAATCTCAACGTTCTGTAATTTTTCTTTTAAAATGAAAAGATGGCTAACTTTATATAATTACAATATGTGGATATATTCGAACAATGACCCTAATCTGCTGAATGTATTTAATTAGTAAATTAATCTAAGTGCTTTTAAAAGGAAGGAGATATTTGTAATTAGTGGACTTATTTATTTATTTATTTTGGGGTAAAATGGGCCTCAAATCCAACATTTAGAATATTAGTGGATTATTAAATCAAAGATTTCGTTCATAATCTGAAAGCGCGTTTAGTGTGGTAGTGAGGGCACGACTGGTCAAAGAGACAGAGACGCGGTGAGAGTCTTAATATCCTTAATTAAGTGCGTTATTAAGCATTAATTAAGATTAATTTCGGATATTTGACCTTATGCGAACCAACCTACCACTTTCTATTCAAAATCAGTTAAACATACTTTTTGAAGATGTTGACGTAGATTTTGTGACTTATGGTGTTTTTCTTTTTGCTTATGTACCACCGTATTCTTGTGTATTTATATATGTAGATTAAGAATGAGCCAGCACGAATCCTGATAAGGTCCAACAGTTCAGAATGATGGAAGTGTATAACAAAGAAGAATCCAACGCAGGAGAATAAGTAACCCCGTTTATTGGGTGCATACATCGGAACCAATGATAAAGACCAACAGAGCCAGAAGAATTACAAAAAGAACGATCCAAGTATGGGGTGATCAGGCTTGTATAGACATATCAAACTTGAGAAAAAAATTCAGTTTTTCGCCATCAACAATTGTCCATGGATGCCCCCAAGGTTTCTCATCGGGAATCGAAAATTGGCCATACAAAAGGGCCTCGCAATAGTCCTGAATTACCTCCCTCGCTGATGAATTATCTATCTATTGAGTTACGGTGACTCGTTCTCTGCTCGATAGCCCACTTTTATTCTGCTGATATGAGATTTTTATCCGTGAAGGGATTGAGGGTCAATAACCATACTATAAACTGGTCGATAAAGTCTACCCGACAGAGCCAGCCTTGCAGACCTAAAGTCAATTAAATCCAGCCGACCGGTTGCGCCAACCTAGCCAAGCGAATCAAACGGGTCTTACAAGCCAAAGTCATGCTAGCCCAACTGATTTGAACCTCTGGTCAGAGGATAGCTTAGCAATAGGTTGAATGTGTAAACTACCTAAAATATCATGTAACTGCTCCATTAATGAGGGACAAAAATATAATATCACATATCGTATCATCCTCCCCTATAAATAGAGATGAATTTAAGAATAAAATTTTTATGTAATTATAACAACTTTTTTCTTATCAAATCTAAAGAATAAAGTTTAAATTTTATGTGGGAGAAGAATAAATTTGTCTTCGATTTAAGAGAATAAAACTACTGTGGCAAGAGATCATGTTCTCAAGGAGCATTGTTATTACTGCAAAACATCATCTAAATTTTAATTATAATAAAGCTTAAATAATTAAATTCGCTTTAAGATAAATATATTAATTTTGAGATGGATTAATATTTATATTACACTCTTTTTAAAATTAATGCCATTTGGGGCAACTTGTTTTGATTTTGAGCCGGATTGATCTAATTTCAAGCCTATTTTGAGCTCGAACGAATCCAAATTTATCAATTTGAGCCAACTCATTTCAATTTCGAGTCGGATCGAGTTCGATTCAATTTTGAGAGAACCTCAACTCAACTCTATGTTTTTTGTTAAGAGCCCTAATTGTGAGATGATTGCCCACCTCAACAATTCATGGGGACTAGTAGATGGTTGTTTAATAGTTATAAATATATACATTTTTGTGGTATTTTCAGTAAGAAATAAGAATTGATGCACCATCAATAAATTTTGATCATCTAGCACTTAACTCGATGTATTTTTTACTATTAAATATTATAAATTCAAATTTAAGATCATCCATAGATCCGATTTCAATAAGTTTATAGTCAAACTGACTGTCTCAACAAGATGAACCTAATCATATCAAAGTGGGATTAATTCGGGTCCAATCAAGCCCGTATCAAATCATTAAGGTACATTTTGAGACTTTGTATTGTCAGTTGAATAGTTAAATAAAATCCAAATTTGATGTAATTATAATCAAATCAAGCGTCTCGACGAGAAGAATCCAACGTGGACGTGATTTTCAAATTTTGAGATCATTAAGACATTAAAATCAACAAAAAATACCCTATTATCAAAGGAGATTTACGGGTCATCCGAATAGGTAGTTGGGGATGTTATTTGTCAAAAAGCTAAATGCACTTTCCCCGAAGAATATTGATGTGTGCCAGAAAATTCACGACGGTAAAGTAATGAATTATCGTCTTAGCGTTGCATAAGGATTCAACACACACTTAGATGAAAGAGAATCAATCTGTGATGACACTGGAAGTTCTTACGTGGAAAACCCGTAAAGGGAAAAAACCACGGGGTATGACCAAATTATAAAAATTTCACTATAAGTTGATGATTGCATAGACCCCTTGTCCCACAAACAGGAAAGTGTTACAAGATTTTCCAAGGTACAACGTCGACTGACGGTGTTTGGTTAGCGGTGGTCGACGACAGTTGATGACGGTCGGCCGTGGTCGACGAAGACGATCGACGGAGCGTTGTGGCGACGCATTGCGGTGGAGGGATGTGTTGAAGCGGTGCGTTGTGACGACGTGTTGCGGCGGGGCTTCGCGGCGACATGACGAGTTGTGACGGAGCGTTGCGCATTCCAGAGGAGATTCTCGGCTGCTTTTGCACGTTTTGAATGTGATAAAGAAATGATATAGTTTTCTAGCCTCGCCATGAGGGGGGTTTTCATGCTTATGTGGTGGCAATATCTGGAGACCCCCTTATGATCATTAAAAGTATTGGAATTTGGGGAGGCGATGCCGACTCTGCTCTAAGATGAGTTGATTTGTTGTAGCAATTGTACAAGTATATGTTGGTATTTGTAGCATTAGTAATCATCATGCTATTTTTTTTTGTAGCTTCCATTATTGTTGTGGCATCTTAATCGTGCAAAATTCTACAATCAAAGTTAGTACACATACTTTATAAAATAGAGAAATGCGTACATTTTAAGACGCGTGCCCACTGATGTTTTGCCCTCTCCTGCTTATTTCTTATAGAGCTTGAAGTGAACTGATGTCTTTAGTGGAGACCTTATCAACCACTTGCTCTATTTGAGTCTTTCTAGTGAGGATCCTGTCCACTGCTAGCTTCCCCTCGAAATTTACCTGTTAGGCTCGTCTTCCGGCGACATGGTAGCTTCTTATCATGTCTTGCCTTATGAGCTTAACTTCCAGGGGCATGGTTGAAAGGAGAATTCATTGAGGATGCAAGACCAGTTCTGAGTTGTATAACCGGTGAAGCTTGACGATATTAACCCGTATTAACACGTAATGAACAGAGTCGTATGAAATCCATTGAGGATGGTTGACCTGTCCTAGGTTATTGGTCGAAGCTTTTGCTTGACGACCGTAACTTGTTATGGAAGAGATTGAAAGAAATCCACCAAGGATTTTTGACCTATTCAAGACTGTATGTCGAAGCTTTTGCTTGATGACTATAACCTATAATAGAAAAGGTCGAAAGAAATCTACCAAGGATTTTTGACCTATCTAAGGTTGTATGTCGAAGCTTTTGCTTAACGATTGTAGTCTGTAATGGAAGAGGTCAAATTGAGTCCCCCTGGGATCGATTAATCCCAGAATGAGGTGTCAGAGATGCTCATTGTTTCTCGATACTGGGGTGTAGGTCGCATTGGACCGTATGTTTTCTTGGAAATATAATTGTAGTCATGCTCAAGAAAAATATTTGACAATTTCTTTGTTGCTGATTTTGAATCTTTTGTTCCACTAGCAGGGGTATTTCCATACGAGAAAAAATGTTTTACAAGCTCGATGAGGGGAAGCATTATTTATAGTGAAGATTAACCCCACATTCCAGGAGAGATTCTCAAAGACTTGTAATCTAAATGAAATATGGTATGACGTCCCCACCATAACCATGCCCAGGAGGTTAAAAAGAATGACATTTTGAGACTGCAGTGAATGTTGCCCCCATCATGAAAGAAATTGTGAAATACTTTGTGTCTGAATAAGATGTGAGAAGGCAACCCTACTACAATCGTGCCTGGGACGTTGACGTGAACAACCTT